GGATACGGGGATAAATCCTGCCCTAGGAACGGGGTGAGGCCCTGGCTCAGGTTGTCCAGAGAAGCTGTGGCTACCCCATCCCTGGAAGTGTCCAAGGCCAGGTTGGACAGGGCTTGGAGCAACCTGGGCTAGTGGATGATGTCCCCGCCCATGGCAGGGATGGGACTGGATAGTGTTTGAAGTCCTTTCCCACCCGATCCATCCCATGACTCTGCCCCTGCTTTCCCCAGTTCACAGCAAAGCAGCTGGAGAAACTCTCCAAGAAAGCTGAGAAGGACTCCAAGGCTGAGCAAGCCAAGGTCAAAAAGGTGGGTAGGGGTCCATTCTTGGGGGAGCTCAGCTCCATGGGGGCAGCTGGAGATCCCCACTCCTGCTCTGGGGGGGGCAGGGAAGGGGCAGGTCCCCTCCCCACCCTCCATTCGTGAATCTGCCAGGGGGACATGGCACATCCAGCAACACCAGGAGGGGTTTAATTCCTGACCCAGGGCATTCCCAGCTCCTGGGGGAGCTGTTCCCTGCTGGGAACCCCCCACTGTGGTGGTTTGAGGCCATGGAGGGGGGTCTCTGAGCAGGGATTCCCTGTGTCCCAGGCCCTGCAGCAGAAGAACGTGGAATGTGCCCGGGTCTATGCCGAGAACGCCATCCGGAAGAAGAATGAGGGGCTCAACTGGCTCCGGATGGCATCCAGGGTGGATGCCGTGGCCTCCAAGGTGCAGACAGCCGTCACCATGAAGGGGGTAAGAGCCTCGGGGGGATCTGTGGATTCAGGATGGAGCTTCCCCTCCCTGGAGTTGCATCCAAACACCTTGGGCTCCCCCGTCCCCCAGAGTGACCCCACCAAGCCCGGTGGGGTCAGTTCATCCTATCTTGGAGGGCCTCACAGCAGGGCTCGGATTTATCCATTGCCCTCAGGGCAGCCCTGAAGAAATCTTCTCTTGCAGGTGACAAAGAACATGGCTCAGGTGACCAAGGCCTTGGACAAAGCCCTGAGCTCCATGGACCTGCAGAAGGTGTCAGCAGTGATGGACAAATTCGAGCAGCAGGTGCAGAACTTGGACGTTCACACGTCGGTGAGTGACGGGGGCCCGGGGGGACAGGGAAGGTGGGATCCTGGTGGGATCCCCGCCGGGTCTCAGGGTGGAGGAGCCGTGCAAGGTGACAGGGCTGTGTGTGTTCCAGGTCATGGAGGACTCCATGAGCTCTGCCACCACGCTGAGCACGCCACAGGAGCAGGTGGACAGTCTGATTGTGCAGATCGCCGAGGAGAATGGGCTGGAGATCATGGACCAGCTGAGCCAGCTGCCAGAGGGGGCCTCGGCTGTGGGGGAGAGCTCTGTGCGCTCCCAGGAGGACCAGCTGTCTCGGAGGTTGGTGCTTTCCTGGCTCCTGGGCACTTCTAGTCCTTCCAGGGAGCCCTCACCAGCATGAAGGGAAAGAGTTGGCCCATCCCAGGGGGCTGAGCCCCCTCCCTCATGCTCGAGAAAGTCCTCAAGGCTGTGAGGCCACTGTGGCCTGGGGAGGGGGTGGGTTTGGCACTGGACAGTGGATAAGAGAGGGCCAAGACTGGTGGAAGAGGGGTAGGATGGGTGGGAGAGGGGTAGGACAGACCTCCCCGCTGCTCTACACTCGCTCTCAGGCAGATGCTCTGCTCAGGGAGCACTTGGCACTGCCCTGCAGACGGCTCTGGAACAGCTGCTCTGCCTGGAACTGCCCTAGGAGGAGCTGCTGCGCTTCCTTCTCTGCCCCCACACAGCACCACGGGCCCATCTGGGCACAGCCCCGGGGCTGCAGTGTGGGAACAGTGCAGGGAGAGGGACCAGGAGTGGGGACAACCTGGGGACGGGGACCAGAAGAGTCTGGAGGAGGGACCAGGAGGACAAGAGGAGTAAGGAATCTGCTCTCCATGCCGCCTCTGCTGTGTCCATGATGGACACCCTGAGTTTACCCTCAGCTGCCATAGCTGTGGCTCCAGAGCAGAATTTCTGGGAGGTTCCCAGACAGATCTGTTCCCTGGACACACTGGTGCTCCCGAGCTGTGGCTGTTTCTGCTGCTCTGACTCTCTTCCCTTTCCTGCTCTCCCTTCCAGGTTGGCTGCCCTGCGGAACTGAGGCTCCGGCAGCCCCTGCCGATGGCGTCGCTGGAACGGCCGGGACCCCCTCCCGCCACCGTCCCCAGCCCCCCCTGCCTCGAGACTGTTCCTCTGGGGGTGACGGCCCTTCCCCGGGCAGGCGCCGATCCCGGCGGGGCTGAGGAACGCTTTGCTGGGGCTGATTTTAGGGGGGTTTAAGTTGGGGGGTGCTGCTGGTGCTTGGCAGTGCCCCATGTCCCGCTGCTGATGGAACACTAAGGGGACTCTCCTGGTCTCGGGGTGCTGCTCCTCAGGTCATGTGATGTTCCCTGTTCTGGGGCTGCTCTGTGGGTTCCCCGGGAGCTATTAGGGAGGAGCAGGGAGATTCCCTGTGGGAAGAGCCCTATGCCCGGCTGTGGGTCTGGGGAGGTCAGTGCCCTGCAGGAAGGGGCGGTGACACCATGGAATCTGTTCCCTCCCAGTCACTGTCCCCATATCCCACCAGGCTGACCCCCCCAGCCCCATACCACGAAGTGCCCTTTGGAGCACCCTTCCTGCCCAGCCCTGTGCGTGTCAATCCACACACTCCCCAGCCACTGCCAGCTGGAAATGATTATCCTGGCCCTGACCTCCAGTTTGGACCAGTGAGGACACATGTCCAGCACTGGGAGCAGATTGCAGCAGCTGTGGTGGCTGCAGACACGTCCTCAAAATGTCCCCCCCGCCCAATGGGTGTGACCAGGAATGCTGAACCATCCCAGAGCAGTTCTGCCTTGCTCCCTGTGCCTCATTCCTGGATATCTGCTGTCCCCTCCAGCTGCTGGCACTGGGCTGGGAGTGGGGGCTGCTCCCCGTGTGCCCTCTTGCTGCTCATCCCCCTTCACCTTCCCCTGGGGCTGGAGGTGTTTGTGCCCCTCTCATGTGACCCCTGGTCACAGAGCTGCTGGATTGCTGGAAGCTCTCCAGGAAGGAAGCGCTGTTTCCTTTGGCTCTTGCAGAAGGAACTTTGACCTCTGGGTGGGGAGGGGGCCTCAGAGGCTACAGGGTCACCTCCCCGGCACTCAAAGCACAAACACTTCCAGCTGCTCTGATTATTTTTCCTGAGTTCAATGGCCTTGGCAGCGTGTGGCTGGTGACACGGAGCCTTCCTCTGTGCCAAGGAGGAGGAGGGGGTGGCTTTGGTCTATGCCAGAGCATTTGGATCTTGTGTCACCTCTTGATGGGCTGAGCAGGAAGCAGGGGGACCCCAGAGATTTGTGCCTAGCTCTTGCCCCTCTGCACAGTGTTCCTGTGGGGCTGGGGGCCCTGGACCTGCTCCTTCCCCCTGGGCTCTGTCTCCGTGGTTTCCTTGGTGATTTTTTTTTAAGCTTGTCTCATTTGCCTTCTTTTTCCCCAAACCGTGCCCCTCCCCTCTCGTGGATTTAATTAAACAATCCCTGGACTCCTTCTGTGTGTGTTGGGATGCAGGGGCGGGGCTGTGGTCCTGCCCTGGGACGGGACCTGGTGCCGAGGGGCTGCCCTGGAGCTGAGGAGAGGAAGAAGAAGGGGCTGCTCCTGCCCCCGCAGCCTCTGCCCATCCAGGGGCCGGGAAGTGACTAAGGGTATCAGCTCTGGGAGTGCTGGAGGGGAAGGACCGCCCATTGCACCCCTGCAGGGACCCATCCCCTTCGTGTGGCCAAACCAGGGGTGACTGGAGTGAGCAGGAGCTTGGGGAGCCTGAGGCAGCTCGAGACCAGCTCCCTTCCACAGCGGGGCTGGATCGGCCCAGTTCCCTGTGCCGTTCTCTGGCCGTCGTGGGGACAAGCCGGGCTTTCCAAGGGGATATCCTGGGATTGTCAGCCCACCGAGGGATCCCCAGTGCTCTACACCCCGGTTCTGCCATCGGCACCTGCCCACAGCAGCCTCACAGGCGGGGATGGGGCTGTGGGGCTGGTGGTGCAGCCTTCTGTGCTCCGATCCCTTCCCTGTTCCCGTCCCGTGCTGTACCCATCCCTTCTCCGTGCCTGTCCGTTCCCCGTGCTCATCCCTTCACTGTTCCCGTCCCTTCCGCGTGCTCATCCCTTCTCCGTCCCCATTCTTTTCCGTGTCCCCATTCCCCTCCCCGTGCCGGGCTGGCAGAGGGCTCTGTGCCCCAGCCAAATCCTGAATACCACAGGAAGATGGCTCTCCTTCTCCTGTCTGTTCTTCCGCCTCCGCTCCGAAGACAGGCTGTTCCCGAATGTGAGAGGAAATTGCTAAGGAGATAATTGAGTAGCCAATTAATTAACTAATGATTAATGGAAGCATCCTGCGGAGGCAGCGCTGCCGCCCTGGCCAGGTGTTGCCGGGATGTGTCACTCCCGGTGCACTTATGGCGTCCTGGTGCCCGGGGAGGGCACCCACCGGGACCCTACTCCTCTGCCCAACTGGTGACGTGCCAGAGTGGCCCATGACACGCGAGGGTGCCCCGTGACATGCCAGAGTGGCTCGTCATCCCAACCAGGAGCTTGTGGGCGCTGGGTCCCTGCAGGTCCCACACTGACAGTCGCTGCCGGCACTGCTCGAGCCACGGGTTTATTTTGCGGATGGTTCCGGCAGGAAGGGCTGCAGGATTGTGCCCAACCCGGCAGCCCCCGGGCAGGGTGGCAGGGCCACGGTGGCAGTTGGATGCTAAGAGAGCAGGGAGAGGCGCAGGGCCAGCGCCAGCGGCAGTGCCAGGGCTGCGGGCAGGAGCCGGGCTGTGCCGGAGCCATTGGAGTACCCATATCTGGTCCTGCACGTCCCGTCCAGCTCCTCAAAGGCGATGGGTGTCTCGTGGGCAGGTGTGTCCTGCAGGGTCCCCTTCACCTGACGTGGGGATAAGGTGGGCTCCTGCTGCGAGGGGCAGTGCCTGGGCCCCACACAGCCCTGCCACCCCGCACATCCCTGCGCCGCCCCATGCCATCCCACACATGTCCATTCATCCCCTGCTCTGCATGTCCCAGTGCCAAACCATGAACCATATCCCCATAAATCCCTGAATGCCACAAGTTCTGATGTTCCACCTGTCTCTGCTGCCCCAGGTGACCCCATGACCAAAATGTCCCTGTGCCCCATGTGTCCCCTATTCCCTATGTCCCCATGCCCCAAGTGTCCCTGTCCCCCATGTCCCGTATTCCATGTGTCCCCATGCCCCAAAAGTGCCCCTGTGCACCAGTGTTCCTTGTTCCGTGTGTCCCCATGCCCTGTACATCCCTGTGCCCAGTGTACCCAGTGCCCCTTGTGTCCCCATGGCCCAAGTATCCCTGTGCTCCCACTGTCCCCTTGCTTGCCCTGTGCATCCCAGTGCTCCCCATGCCCCACTCACCTCCTCCACCTTGCTGAAGACCCGGAGCAGGTTCTCAGACAGGGCCAACTTCACCTCCTGCTCTGTCCAGTTCCTTGCCAGCAGCTCGGCCACCAGTGCAGGATAGGTGGAGACATCCTCCAGGCCAGTGGGGAGCCTGTGCCACCCACAGCTCACAGCTGGGCCACCCCGCACCCCCCAACTGCCCACACAGGGCACAGGGGAGCCACCAGCACAGCCCATCCCGCACCCATCACCCCCTTTACCGTGTGACCCCATCGTAGTCCCCACCAAAGCCAACAGACTGGGCCCCGGCCACCTTCTTCACGTAGTCCATGTGGTCTGAGGGCACAGGGGGGTTGAGGTGAGTGGGACAGGGGCACTGCTGCTGCGCCCCACCCACCCGGACACCACCTCACTTGCAACATCAGCCAGTGTGGCTGTGTTCTTGCAGGTCACGTAGTCATTGTAGAAGTTGACCATCACCAGGCTGCCCGTGGAGGCCTGGAGGAAAGAGTCCTGAGCCCCATGGCCCCCCACAGCCCCCCGTGTCCCCTGGCCTGCCCTGGCCGTGCCCCTGCTCACCACCAGCTGCAGCACATCGTCGGGCACGTTGCGGCGGTGAGCACAGAGGGCGTAGGCAGACGAGTGGCTGAAGATGACGGGGGCTTTGGAGATGTTCAGCACAACCTTCATCGTATCCACCGAGACGTGGGCCAGGTCCACAATCATGCCCAGGCGGTTCATCTCCTCCACCACTGTCTGCAGGAACAGGGACCAGGATGGGAACAGGGATGAGGGTGTGGAGGGAGGCATGGGAGGGTCTCCTGGAGTAACCTGTCCCCAGCCCACAGCTGGAGCTGCTTGAGTGGCTTTTGGCAGATGGGACTGATGAGTGGGTGGATGGGTGGATGGGTGGATGGGTGGAGGGATGGAGAATGGATGGATTATGGATGGGTAGGACACCGCACCCAGGGCAAATCACCCAGCTGGTGGGTGCCAGTACCATGTCCCCCCTCAGCCACTGCTCCTGGGCACTGCTGCCATTGCTGTTCCTCACCTTCCCAAAGGCTGAGAGGCCATGATGCACTGGCTTTTCCTCCTTGGTGTCCACCAACCAGTTGTCAGCCCTGTGGAGCAGGGAGAGCATCAGGGCAGCCCCCTGACCACACCCCCCATGCCATCCTGGTTCCCTCATGCCCGGGGTCCTACCAGGGAGTGTTGCAGTTGTGGGTGAGGGTCATGTAGCGCACGCCCAGGCGGTAGAAGGTGCGCAGGACGCCCAGGCTGCTGTCGATGGAGTGGCCGCCCTCCACCCCCATGAGACTGGCCACCTTCCCGCTCTGGAATG